GCCACCCCGGCAGGGCATATATAGCCCTGGCACGGCCCTGCCGGCGCCGGCACCGGCACACTGCCCTCCCCTGCCCATCGCCCACGGTGCCAGGCCCACATGGCCACCCTGCTCTGGTTGACATTGCCACCGCAGGAGGTGCAGCAGCCCCGTGGTGCCCAGCCTGCAGCAGCACTGTGCCCGTTTCTCCCCTCCGAACACTGAATGTTTTAATTGGAGCATCACTCTGTGCCCACACATGCCTGCAGCACTGCTCTGAAGATGCCAGCAAGACCTGGGTGTTTGAAGTGCTTCAGGAGTTGGGTTTTTACCAAATGATGTATAATCAAAGCTGACACTGTACCAACCATCTGAGTGCCTGAAAAACGTTGTTCTGCATTGGGGATGTCCCTGATCATTGGCAGAGCAGTTCTCTTGTCTTTTAGCCCATTTTCCCCGTGCTGTGCCACTCTGTACCACCCCTGCACTCATGGTGCCAAACCCCAATCAGGGTTTTGGGGCATCAGCTCTGTCTGGCTGACACAGGAGGAGGGGTCACTGGTGCCAACCTGGGGACACGCTGGCACCAGTCCCTGCGGCAGCTCAGCCTGCAGTGCCACATCTCCTGCACCCCATGGCACCCTGTGGGGACCTTCCCCTGACTCCCACCAGGCCTCTGATCATCTCCTCTCCCTGTTTGCCTGCCATGACCCTGGTCATCTTGTAAATACCTGCACACTCCTTTCCAACACCCCCAGCTTCCCGCAGCATCCAGCTCTCCTGGGCAGTACCTCACCCGAGGTGCATGATCAGAGAGCTCAGAGCCCTGTGTTTTGACATCATCTTTTGTTCCACTCATGTGCCACCAGAACCGTTGGGATCCAGCTGCACCCTCGGGGCTATTGCTCAAAATCCCTAACAAAAAGCATTGATCGATCCCTTCTTTTCCCGAGGTTTTCAGCAGCTCTGCCGTGCCTGAGGTGTGTGTGGGTGTGGGAGCTGCTGTCCCGTTACCCTGGGCAGTGCTCCAGCCTGGTTCTCACCTTGATGCTGAGCAGTGGTTTATGATTCATAATTTCAATTTGCACTCATTTCCATGGCTTTTATCCAGATTTCTGATTTAACCTGCCCTCTCTTCCTCCCAGAGCCAGGGCAGGTGTTCCACTCGCTGCCTCCTTTGTGCCTCCTGGTCTTAACCAGCAGGTCTCACCCACACCCTGATCCTGGCTCTGCTTCCCCTCCCAGCTCCCAGCACCTTTGGTATTGGAAAACCACCTTGGAGGGGCTGATTTCTGCTCCTGATGGCTGCTCTGCACTGCTCCACATTACTCCGAGCACTTGGCAGCCCCATGGATTCCCTGACCCCCTGCTGCAGCAGGGCTGACAGCAGAGATCTGTCCTTGGCAGTTCCTAAGCCCCCCAGACACAAAGTCTCTGCCCTCCCCATGGAGCATCCCTCCCACTGGCTGCAAGTGGTTTGGAAAGCCTCTCACTGTGCCATCCCACATGTGCAACTCCAACACAGCAAAGAGCTGCCCAAGCAGCAGAGACCCAGAGTTGGCACAGCACAGCTGCAGTGGGCATGGGCATGAGGTTTGTTCTGCCCTGGTGAATCCCACTGCCTGCAGAGCTCCTGCTGCTGCATCCTTGCCCATCACCAAGCTGCACCATGGGTGCACCCAGACACAGCTTGAACTCCACACAGCCACATCCCAGTGCCAGGACACAGCACAGAGACCAAGGGAATGGTGGTCACTGTGCTGGTGGTCAGTGCAAGCTGAGTTTAACTCAGGTCACAGCAAGAGGCTGGGGACAAATTGTGCCAAAAGGGCTTTTGCTGGTGTTGCAGGTGCCAGGGACAGGTTGTGCAGTCCCACTGCAGCCAGGGGCAGCTGGAGGCATTGAGCCCCCCTGGCTGCTGTGCTCTCCTGCTCTGCCTCCCCCGCAGTGCCTCGGGCTGCAGCTGCACAAAGGATGCTCTGGCTCAGCCACCTGGGAGTTTCCTGGCAAATGCTGTCCCAAAACACAGCACTCCCTGGCAACACAGGTTTTCCCGCTTGGCCCAGCAGCCTCCTTTGTCTGCTGCCCACTCTGAGGCACAGACTGGGTGGGTGCCTCTGCCAGGACCCCTGCCCTCGGCGCCCTGCACGGTCCTGCCACCACCCCAGGATGAATTGGGATGTGTGTGGGTCACTGTGAGCAAAGCTCAAAGGCATTTAGGTCCCCAAAATGCAGGTGCAGCAGGCTCTTTCCAGTGCTCAGAGACTGGAGACTGTGGCAGCACTCCCCAGATCATGACCTGAAACTCCAGTCCCTCTCATGCCTTTACAGACCTGCCCCCCACTTTGCTATGTCCCTGGTCCTTGCTTGTGGCCCTGGTCCATGGCTGCTGTGTGCCCAACCTGCAAACATGCTGCCCCAGCTCTCAGAGAGGGCTGCTCTGCCCTCGCAGAGCAAGTGGAGACGTGTCCTTCCTCCCACTTCCCAGAAATGGGTGAGGAAACATTCCCAGGCCTCCAGCACAGGCAGTGTTGCCCTGTGGGCAGGAGGAGCACTGCCAGAGCTGGAACACAGCCCCAGCCCAGCCCCATGCTGGGGAGGGCACATGCAGACCCTGGGGGTGATGCCCTGGCTCTGCAGCTGTGGGGCAAGGGGGTCGGAGCCCATGCCCGGTGGGCCAGGGGAGCAGGAGCCTGGACGTCCCAGCTCATCAGCGTCTCTCTTTGTTCTACCAGGTCCCTCCTCCCAGCCATGTGCTGAGTTAGGGGTTTCAGTAATGCTCCCCTGGGCTCTGTCTCTATCTGGAGGCTATAAAAACCCAGCTGGAGGCTGCGGAACACGTCACCTCCCTGGGCACCAGCGCCTCACCCCAGGTAAGCACCAGAGCCTGGGACAGCTGTCCCTGTCCCTATGGATGGGGCCTGGGAGTGAGCAGCTGTGGGAAGGTGTGGAGGAGCATCCAGGATCCGGGGATGGACCTTGCCTCAGTGCAGGGAGTGGTGGAGGGGGATTGGGGGATCAGGGGCCATCACTGGCTGTGGCAGCGTGCTGATGGTCAGCGCGGGCACAC